TGCTGAATTAATACAGAGCCCGTGTGGCTCTGGCAGCACTGAGCCGGGGGCATCTCAAGGAAAGGAAGGCGGCAGATTGCTCTTGTGCCGTAGTTGTATCGGGGCAGAGCCCTCGTGCACAGATAGTCCTTATATTTCTGCTCTTTAAACTGGTCGTGATCGCAGAGATCAGAGCAGTCCATATGTAGTTAGTCAAAGTTCTTTATTATGGTCGTATACCAGTATAATAGAAGACAAATAAGTACAGATAAGGGAGCAATAAAATTATAAAATATAATGGCATCTAAAATTATAAATAGGAATCTAAAAATTTTAAAATACAGACATGATAAAATCAATATTAGAATCAGAAATTAGATTTAGGCCTATCTGTACTTTATTTCTTTCCTAGTTTGGTATGCCAACCAACCAAATTTGGCAACCATCCTAGTCAGCTTTTGGTTATCCCCTGCCAGCATAATTGACAAAAGTATCCTTCTATTACGACCTGGAAAGGAGTTAACTATAGGCTTGATCAAAACTTCCCTCATATTTTGATATTTAATACAATCGAAATGTAGTTCGCAAATGTCAGTGGCTGCAATTGAGTGTGCACAGGGCTGAGACAAACCCCTCTCTCCGGAAGTGCCCCAGAAATATAAGAGAGAGTGTTAGTGGGGAGCGGGGCTGGTTAGCAGTAGAGGAGTTCCATCCAGGTCTAGTAGCACCTTAGAGAACAGCAAGATCTTTGGGGTGTTTCCAGAGTCAAAGCACTTGCGTCTGAAGAAGGGAGCTTTGACTCCTGAGTGCTTCTAGCTGCACAATCCTGTTGGTCTCCAAGGTGCTTCTGGATTCGAATCTAGCTCTGAAAAACAAAAGGCTCGCTTTTACAGACGCCTTGCTTCCCGCTTCCCGCTATTGTTTGTGTGTTTATTTGATTTCTACCCTGCCCTCCCCGCCGAGGCGGGCTCAGGGCAGCTTACAACATTCATAAAAGCAGGTACAGCTGAAACATCAGCAAACATATAAATAACTTAAAATTAAAACCATCATTTAAAACATATAAAACGCTGGAACCTATTAAGTAAAGAGCGACAGTTCTTTATGATGTCACTTGGGTGATTGTTTGAATGGCTGTTTTCACACCAGCTCAGTTCTCGTTGGTATACGGCAAGTACGGCTGAGGACACGATAGTAAGACCCCCAGGGCACAGGCTGGCAGCAAAGATGGCAAACCAGGGCACAGGGAACACTCCTCGGTGGATGGTGTGGCTCCTAGTTGAACTCCTGGTTGGTGTGTCCCCCCCTCCCCCCCAATTTCTGGAGTGTCCCTGGTGTGCAGCGGATTTGGTCGGCTCGTTCCCTTTCTGCATTATGTAGCAGCTGTTGGATTTGGAATGTTCTTTTTATTTTTCCCCAAGTTGCTGTAATCACCGCAGATCTTGACTCCCTTTTCCTCCCTCTCTTCTCCTACAGAAATATCCTGTATTGCCATATCTAGTTTTAGTATTGAAACAGTTTTTGCTGCAGCGGGACCTCAACGAAGTATTCACAGGTGGAATCGGTTCTTATAGTCTTTTTTTAATGGCTGTCAGCTTCCTCCAGGTAAGTCTGATAAGCAGAACTGTTTCCTAATGGTACCTGAGTATACTGTTCCTCTTCCAAGTTCTACTGGGAAAAGGTCTGCACTGGTTGGCCACACTGGGAAACGGGATGCCCAGAATATATGAACTGTTGACCTGACCCAGCATGGCTAAACTTGTAGAACCGCGGGTCGCAAGCAGTGTTCCCGCTAAGCTGAGTTAGTGTGAGCTAGCACACAGTTTTTTTAGCCTCCGGCTCACACATTTTTGCCTTAGCTCAGGAAGGAGGGCTCCAGAGCAAACTGATTTATGCAGTCGCCAAATTGCTCGCAACTTTAATGCCAGTCGAACTTTTGCTCACAAGAATCCACAGCTTAGAGGGAGCATTGGTTGCAAGAATACCGGTTGGGTGTAAGACACTGTGGGTTTTGAAAACCGCCATTTGAAAGGTGGGCATGGACAGGGTTTCCCCCTGGTGTTCTCCCATCCCGATACTGACCAGGCTTAGACCAGCGTAGCTTCACCAAGGTTGTAGCATCATGTACCCCTGAGACAAAAGGCAATAAACTGTTCCAGTGCGATTTTTACAACTCTGTTCAAACCAGTGGGGTGTGTTCGTTATCTTCCTAACGGCTCTTGTCAAGCAGCTCATGGATCTATCCACACAGTAATATTGTGAGATATTTAAACCCGCATCTCCCAGGCCACAGCTTGCTTGGCATGCCGGGCCTTGAGCAAAGGGCTGAGGACTGAGAGGCATTCGAAGGCCGAAAGGCCAAGTGCCAAACTAGCAGCTGTGGAGAAGGTCATCGTGTGTTCCGCGGGGCTACCACAGAAAAGGCTGTGCTGCACGTGTTGCATTCATCCTTTGTGGCAATCCTTTGAACGCACATCGTTTATTCCCATTTTACCCTGGTGGTGGGCTGTGTGGGATTAGAGCCTTTTGCCGAATGTGAGTTAAGAGCCAAACCCAGAACGCGCTCCGGTACAAATTAAGTGCACTGAACTTTGTTGTCTCAGTTCAAGCTGATGCTCTAGCTGTAATTTTTTAGAGAGACGGAGAAATGTACTTTCTCCATTCATTTCAAATCGAAAGTAGTTCTCTGCTCAATGGGCCTTAAGTGGAACAAACCGTTTTTGCGTGTCATTCAAGTGCGCTAAGCTATGAAATTGTGTTTCACACCATGAGCTTTTTGTTAGCAAAGGCCAGCAAAGAAATCAGGAGATTGTTGTGAGAAAACATTAAATATATATATATATATATTTTTTTTTTTCTGGAACTCCAGCGACCTACTGAGCACAGGGCTATACAAAACCAGAGAGGTCATTCTGGATCCCTCCAATAGGAGTCGCACAAATAATTTGTATATCCCTATCCAAGCAAGCAGAGGCATGACTTAACCAGTACCTGGATGACTCCCCCCCCCAAGTAGAAGGAAAAAAAAAAGCCAGTGCAAGGCTGAGCCAGGAGGGAGCAATCTTCTCCCTTTGGCACAGCTGATCCTGGCTGGGCTGGCTTCCCAGCAGCTCAGTTTAAACCGCACTGCAGGATAAGCCTGTGGAAAGCTGAGCTGGTGGGATGTGCACTATTCAACATATTTATGGAATTTAAAAGTATAGATGCCCTAGTTTATACAAGCAACTTTGCAAAGATACCCACTGCTAGGGAGAAAGAGCGCCAAACTGCTGTACCCTCTCCTCCCTTAACATAATCTGCTTTTTGGTCCTCTGAGAGGTAGGAAAAAATAAAAGTTAAAAAACAACAAAACAAAAAGTGTCTTATAAATCTGCATTAAGAATGGCAGCGTCTTTGCACATCAAGTTAAACTTTATAACACTGAACACAGTAAACTCTTCAACACTATATTATTGTAATACACATTATAGCATATTAACTGTTGCCCACTTACATTTAAACAAGCAAATCCTTGAAAATAAGTTGTATACATCTATGGTATATATTGAAATTATCACTATCTAATACTGTAGACTGTCTTGCATTAAAATTTCATACGAATTATTCTAAGTAAAATCTTGACTTAAAAAGCATTTCTCTTATACAATACACACTATTTCACAGGAGTCGTTTCAGTGCTCTCCAAAATTTCCAGTTGGAAAAGTTGGGGAACAAGTCCTCATGAAAAAAGCCCCTCCCCTCCTATTTTCTGGGCCTTCACATCTCTATTCTTAAGAAGAGCTGTGCAGTAAACTCAATTCTGAAAAGAAAAACACATACTATCTACAGAGGAATATACAGACATTAATTACAAAAAAGTGACACTTACTTGTTCAATCTCTTTTGTCTTTGCAGCAATTGCCTTTGAACGACTAACATGTTGGCTATCTTCGAACAATTCATTACTGTCAGTTATATTGGCACTGGTTTCTTCGCGTTGTTCAACATATAATGGTTCTGAGGATCCTGCCTGTAAGAAATTTATAGGAGCAGTTTTATGTGGCAAAAGCAAAAGTTACATAAAGAAGTTAAAGCAACTATATTCTCACTCAGCGAAAGGTATCCTCTACCTTTTTTTATACCTCTCAAGTGACACAATGTAAGCTGCGTTAGATAAAAATTGTCCCACTTACCATACAGTAATAGCAAGAAAGTGCTAAAAAAATTCAATCAGGTTTATATATGTCTTACGAATCTTTTACTTGAGTATCTATAACATGTCCTTAATTGTAAAAGTGGCTAAGGATAACAGTTTGGGAATCTTGGTAAATTACCATTCCGTTTTAAGTAAGAACATAAGAGAAGCCATGCTGGATAAGGCCAATGGCCCATCCAGTCCAACACTCTGTGTCACATAGTGGCCAAAAACCAGGTGCCATCAAGTGGCATCAAGAGATATGAAAAACAAAGGCAATGGGTCCAACCTAATAAAAGCAAAGCTAAAATTAAGCAAACAGGACTTTTAACAGTGCACTTATATTTCCATTGCTATCCCACACTGATGTGGGGGTACTTAAGAAAGCCAATGCTACAGAAACTCAGCACAGACCCTGAAGCCTGCTTGAAGAGTTCTGCATTTGCAGAACTGCATGCTGAAACTCCAGTTACCCATTTTACTGCTTTTAAATACATTTTGAGTTTTATCTGCTAACTTACTTGGAGGCAAATAACCAAATAGTTGAGGAAATAATGGATCAAATTGATTAGTATTTTTACTCAGCTTACATCATACTCTGAAATTTCAGGCAAATTGCTTGTGTCTGCTTTCTCTGCTTTTTCAGCAGCCCACCTACTCGCAGCCTCTACAAGTTCCTTTTCTGATAACCTGCTGCTTTTGTCCAAGGCCTGAAAAACGACAACACAAAAACCCAAAAATATATGTGAGTAAAACTGTGTAGTCTAAAATATAGAAGAACTGAAAAATTACATGTGGAGCTGAAAGGAGACATTATTAAGAATCAACAAGACTACGTTCCTAAATACAACTGTTTCAAGTAATACCTAGCTGAGATCCCCAACTTCATTGGGCCTGCAGGCACCTGTGGAATTTTGAGAAAGGTAATGGGCATACCTCAAAATGGCTAGTGTGGGAAATAGGGCCAGTCACAAAATGGCTATTATGGGGGGGTGGGGGGTCACAAAATGCTGAGAGATTCCAAGCCAAATGTCTTCCTTTGTGGGGGATCTATTTCTGAATGGGTGCTCTCTGCAGGCCCAAAGGTGATATTCTCTTTGGGTCTTCTGAATCTTCTTGTGCTCCAATGAGATCAAAGAAAGTCAGGATTTGATCTTTGGTTTGGGGGAAAAGCAACTGGGTGACATAACATCCATAGTATTATGTTGGTGATCATTTATCTACCAGATTAAGAATGTCAATTACCTTGGTTTAAGAGAACAGAAATTGAAGAGGAAGTGTGAAAATAAACATGGACTGATACTTTACCTCTGAAAAATCAGCAGTATTGAAATTTTCTCCAGGGTACCAACCAGACTGAACAAAAGAACTAAATTATGACTTGGGACATAATTCATAACTCATGAACTACTACTTCACACAGTTGGAGATCAGGAACATGCCACAGGCTTATGTACCCCTTCCCTCCCATACAAATTTCTCATTCTTTTCCAAGGCTTGCTTTTACTAGGGTGTAATGCTACATCTTTATTAGTGTTAACTGTAGTATTAACTAGGTAAGTGCTAACTGCCTGCCTCGGCAGGGAGGGCGGGGTAAAAGCCAACCAACCGTATTAACACAAGTGTGAACCAGGGTTTGAACTTTTAAATGGATTTCAAACCCTGGTTAGGAGGGTGATCATTGTTAGTTCTGATTCAGATCCAGTACTACAGCACACTTAAAGAAAACCATTAAAGAAAAAGAAGAATTTGCTCTGTGTGTGAGAGGAAGGGGACCATGACATCTTGTTATACTCCCCCTTTCCTACGAGGCAGAAATACTATGTCTTCCCAAGGCCTATGTTATAGTGTGACTACAGTTGTTTCAGATAAGTCTATTCATGTACAGACGAACACAAAATACACATGCGGAAAGAATTTAACAAAATTTCTTTATCAGTGTTAACCCAAATTAGATATCTTATGTATATTTGCACAGACTGAAATCCAAGAAGCTAAGAGGTAACTCAGACTTTTTGCACTGCAAGTTGCTATCTTCTACCATCATGTTCTAATACTGGACTCACCTTAGAAGGTGCTGCTGCTGTGGTTCCTGAGGGGGATACATCTCTTGATGTTTTCAGAGGCTGAGAAGAAGTTCTTTCCTTACCTACGTAGACAAATAGCATGTACGTTTGTTTGGTTTTTAGGTGCTTAGGGCTGTGATAATGTTTTGAAATCTGTTCCACACAACTACTTAGCTGCACTTGATTTCTGTATGTGAATGAGATACTGTACACATGAAATTAAATTGGACCACCAGCACTACTAAAATAAACCAGCTTTCAGTCTCCCTGAAGTGCTGGCCTTACATGGGTTTCTCTGAGGAACAGATAACAGAACCTGAAAGTGGGTGTGGGAGGAAAAGAGTAATAACAGAAAAGCTTTGCTCAGCCTCCAAACAAAAGCAGGTGACCAGATGGAATACTGAGTAACAGCCAGTAGTTTATTTTAATGTATATGTATTTGTATTTTTTAAAACCTGGGCAAGAAAGGAAACCTGACCAAGAGGGGAATTTGGGTATTGGGACTGCACCTACGTATACGTGTGTATGCCTTCCTAGTTCTGTATATGTACCTTCCTAATCAATGCAAGCCCAAATAAGAAAACGGTAGAGTTAAATTCCATGGAAGACTTCATAAAAGGATCTGGTGGAGCGGATCTTTTTCTGCTTTCTACTGGCAACTGCCTGTTAATCCAAAAACACTTCTCTGATCAACAGAGCCTCACAAGCAAAATGTGCCACTAATCTGCCTCAAAAGCATCTGCTGCTTGGGTCAGCAGATAAGGGAAAGGGAAGCAATGTCTCTGCTAAATCTGTTTAAAACAAACTGTTAAAAGAAACTAAAAAGAGAACTGGGTTTGATTCCCCACTCCTCCACTTGCAGCTGCTGGATGACCTTGGGCAAGCCATAGTTCTGTCAGTGCTGTTTTTGAAAGAGCAGTTCTCGATCACCAGATCACCTGAACAGATCACGCCAGGCCTTCCTGTCTTCCGCCGTCCTCTGAAGTTTGCTCAATTTCATGTTCATTGCATCGAACCAAGTATATAGTGGCCATTAAAAAGAACAACTAAAATGACTGAAAAGACAGATTATATCTATCAAGAGTTTAGGCTCAAGTTCTCTCTAAAAAAAGGGATTCCAGAGGTTTATAAAATTACAAAACAGTGAAGAAAAGGGGGGGGGGACCCAGAACATTCACTAGAACCCTGGTCCACACCGTAAAGGACTGACAGTTGCTTCAGTAGAATGAAAATATTTCTCCATGTAACATAGAAATGTACTGAATTGCTATGGTGTTACAGGAGTAATGAGCAAAGATTACTTAAAAAAGGATAAGTCTATTTTTTGATGGATAGGTCTATGAAGACCCATTAAATGATAGCTAGAACTGAAACCTCAACGTTAGGAGGGTATCTGATTACCGGATGGGGGGCACGAACAAGGAACGTGCATTGCTACCACAACTATTTACAGAAGTTTTTACAACATCTGGTTGGCCAGGTTGGGTGAAAAAAAGTACAAATAGCAGCACTTTGGTCTGATCCAGCAAAACAATTCTTATGTAGAAAACTGACATAACAGTGGAATTTCGCACTCTTTGACCAAACAAAACATTGATAGGGTACTTGATGTCTAGAAAAATAAATGCTGAGAAAATTCCATTAAGAACATTGGGGAAGAGGAATACACAATCTGTTTCCAAGACCACACAATTAAAACTAAATCTGATGGGTGAGCTTCTCTAGAAGAAAGGAGAAGAAAGTTATTTCATGACTGGGATTACTCTAAAACAAGGAAGGGAAATAAAATACTTTCAGCTCACAGCAATTAAAATCACAAACGATGCTTACATGAGTAACAGGGGAAACAAGAGAACACAAATTTCTTTAAAATTTTCATTCATATTCCCGTGGAAAAAATGATAAATTAAACAGGGATGTCTCTAATAACAAAGAAAGGAACATTATGATTTAATCTGATGTAGCACGTCATCAGTCTTCTGCTTACTCACTGAATCTCGATTTAACTTCATGATCACAGGGTCAGAACAGAATAAAGAGATTTCAGGAAAGAGCTCTTGCTTATAATACAAACACATTGAGTAGGAAACTGAATTCCACAAGAATGTACGCTTCATGGTCCTGGTAGATAAAAGAAGACAATTTTATTTGACTAGCACAGGTTTTCTTTATTAATCCAGCATTACCTTGTGAAATATTTCTTTTATGTAAAGATGATACGCTTCTGCCATGCTGAGACTGGTGGAAAGCATAAGCTTTACTTCTGTCTGGAGAATAACTTCTGCTACTGACACTGGAGCCAGATCTGCTGTGAGGGGAATCCCTTCGACTGACAGGTGATTCCCTGAAGTAAGGAGAATCCCTCTTATGCGGAGATCGCTCTCTTGCGTAGTGAGGATATATGTTTTTCCGTCGTATGCCACCTCGGATATCCCTGTCAAAGTTACAGCAATAAAACAAATCACAAATATTTTTCTTCTTAGATATGAGAATCAAGAAGAACCCAATTAAATATCATAAAGCAGAGGATCTTCTACTGAACTATTTATTCAGAGAAAATTAAAAATTATCAGCATTCAAGAAGCAACAAATAGTACAAATGTAAATGTGTTCAGTATTCCAACTTGTTTTTATGGCCTGTTCTATCTTTCGTTATTCTGCCAGTTAGTATGTAGTGAGCTGACTGTTAATAACATAAGTTTATAAAAATAAGGGCTACAGCTCAGAAGCAAAAAGCTTATAATAAATAAAGGACAGCCTCCTATATTAGCACTGCATATCTAGTGGATCACACTTGAAGGCTTTAGAGGTTTTTTGTTCCAAGTCCACACATACAAAACCCTGGATTTTTAAAGCCACCATTTAAGAAGGACAAACAGATTTCATATTCTAGGCTGCAAATCTTTCCTTCCCAACTCATATATATTTTTATAACAACAATTTATTAGTACAGTCATTGACCAAATACGTAAAAGAACCAAAAAGACATCAGCCGGTAAAACAGTTAACAGTAAAATGCATATAGACGCTATCCAGAATATCAAACATTAAAATGTTAGGAGTAAAATTAAAATATTATTAGATAATTTAAAAACTCTATTTAAGTATAATATTCACTATCTAAATGCTAATAGCTTGTCTCCAGATTTTGATCGCCTGCATGACAAATTTTGCCATGTTTAAAGTAGTTTCCTGCTCTTTGTCCACCAGCAACTTATCTAGGTAAAATCTTTCATTTCTCCCAGGAAATCGAGAACAAATTGGGATTATGGTATATTTTTATATTGCTATATTATGTATAATCAAGGTAAGACTTTATAATAGTAACTTACTGGCTAAATGGCTATATTCAGAAGCAGATCTTTATTAGGAGCAGCTTTGTTAGCTTCAAGCAGGGTATTCCAGTTTATGCCTTCTAAAATCAAGGTTTCTTTGGAAGAAACAAGTTCTCATTTGACCCCAAATCTTATCTCAAAATAATAATGAATGTAAACATCAAATTACCACAAATCTAATAGCCAAAATTAAGGTAGCACCTGGCCAATAATTTGAAACAAAAAAGTTGCACAAAAGACATGAGAATTTTAGCCTTTCGTGAAGAATGTCATAAAGTTAACAAGTGTGGAAACTAACACCAACATGATCTGGGCTAGGAATGTCCATAGCAGCCTGGAAATAAGTACAGGGAACCGAAAAGTTTTCACCTCCTCACCAGGATTTTATGACCATTATATTGCCATACAATAAAGGAAAATATTTAAAGTAAACTGAAACATAGGTTGTTTTATTGCTTCATTTCTCTTTGTAAGTATATGCCTTAAGTGCATAACCTGCATAAAGACACACACCCAGACGCTGAAGTAAAGGTAAACAAAGAAAAAGGGACCTCTAGTGTACACTTTGTAAAGAGCCTTCTATGATGAAGGCTGCCTTGAAAACATTTTGCAAGTGTGGAGCTAACATAATACACAAGTAGACCTAAGCTAATTTGTCCATGAACAAGCCTACCTTTGATTAATACAGCACAAAAGTATTTATTGTACTTATACTCTGCCTCTCTTTCTTAATAGAATTTGAAATGGATTACGAAGGATCCCCAGGAGACTTTCCATTCAGGCAATGACCAGACCCATATTTGTTCAGCCTTGCACATTTCTTGTTTCTAAACTATTTTACAATGTGAATACCTGCAACAATGTTTACAAACTTTCTTCCTCTTCCAAAACTCTTGACTAAAGATATTTTATCTGATTTTTTGACTATAAGGGCTGTTTTACACATTACATTCAACAAATCCGGACTTTTCTTCCATATTTGAAGTAAGAGCCCCTACCCACACAACCTGATCCAAGACAGTCAACACAATATGGCACTGAAACCAGCAAGCAATAACACCACAAAACTAGATAGCTAAGTTGTACTCTCCGTGGAGAGAAGTGAGAAGTGGAGTGCCTCAGGGATCTGTCCTGGGCCCTTGCTGTTCAGGATCTTTATAAATAACTTGGATGAAGGAATAGAGAGGATGCTCATTAAATTTGCAGATGATACTAAACTGGGAGGGGCAGAAATTACAGCAGAAGATAGAATCAAGATTCAGGATAATTTTGACAGGCTAGAAAACTGGGCTAAAACTATCAAAATGAATTTCAATATAGATAATTGTGAAGTTTTGCATTTAGATTAGAAAAATCAAGTGCATAATTACAGGATGGAGGAGACTTGTCTTGGCAGTAGTATTTGAAAAAAGGTTCTAGATGTCTTAGTAGACTATACACTGAACATGAGCCAGCAGGGTGATGCAGTAGCTAAAAGACAAATGTAATTTTGTTTTTGTTTTTTAAATACTTTTTATTGGGTTTTCACAAATGTAATTTTGGGCTGCATCAACAGAAGTACAGTGTCCAGATCACACAAAGTGATGGTTATCACTTTACACTGCTCTGGTTAGACCTCACTTGGAATACTTTGTTCAGTTTTGGGCACTGCAGTTTAAGAAGGATGTTGACAAGCTGGAACATATCCAAAGAAGGGCAACAAAGATAGTGACAGGTCTGGAGACCAAGTCCTATGAGGAAAGGTTGAAGGAGCTAGGTATGTTTAACCTGGAGAGGAGATGATTGATAGGTGATATGATAGTCATCTTCAAGTATTTATTTATTGTCTTTACTGTTTTTGCAACCAAAGTCATAAACAGCAAACCCTCATCCCACAATAGACCTCGTTCCACAGGAAAACATGGAAGAACTTAAAGGTTGCTACTGCAAAAGTTGTCATTATGATTTGACAACAGCTGCTAGAAATTTTGTCACAGGGTAGTTTGTTTGTCTTAGTCTCTAAGTAACCAGGATGATTTCACTCCTGGGGAGAGGAAGTCCTGATTAAATAAAGGGGAGATCATTTCTTAGAGCTGAAAAATTGGGACAATCAAGCAGAATATGATCCACAGAGTCTGTTTTATTGCTGCCACAATTACAGAGTCAATTTGAGTATGAAATCCCATTAAATTTTCCTGACATCACAGCTGAAGGTAGGGCATTCAGGTGCACTTTGGAAGAATAGATAATTTGGCATTGTTGTTGGAGGCTGAATGCCTACTGAAAAGGATAAGCACATTCTCCAGGCTCTAATCAACTCATAGTCAAAGTCTCTCAGACATCTTTTAATGAGCTGTGGCACATGAACGACACTGAATTTGGAAGGCTAATGCATGTTTCGAAAACAAATTGATGATTGGTTAATCCCATCAAGAATTTGTGATTTGGAGACTGGTTCCGAATTATAACGGTGAATTTTCTGGGAAGCTGTATCGACTTTGAAGACTGCCTTTTACTTTGACACTGCTTTTTACTTGTGAATACTGTGGGAACATAATCAAAGAAGGAAATTTTTGGACCATAAGTTTATTTTATAATCACTGGGCTAGTGATTGCACTTTAAAGGTCTTATGTGCATATTTATTCTGTGCCTGGTGATTTTACTTCTGAACAATTTACATTATGGTCCTTATTGAATCTATACTTTGTATATCTTTCTAATTGTGTTTATGTGAATATAATTATTAACCATCTTGCCACATATGTATGACCTCTGAGGAAGGCCTATTTGGCCGAAACGCGTAAGGTCAACTTTTTAAGCCCTCGATGTTATGTTTTATATACATTGGTTGTAATTGGGCCCCTATATATGTTTTAAAATTTGTTATTATCAATAAATACATGTACCTTTTTTTATGGAAAGGTTTTAATATTGGCCCTCCTTTTCACTAACCTAGAAGGATCTGTCAAGGATGGGCGAATGGGCGTCAACATGGCAAATGGGGTTCAATGTGGCCAAGTGCAAGGTGATGCACATTGGAGCCAAAAATCCTAAATATAAATACACATTGATGGGGTCTGAACTGGCAGAGACTGAGCAAGAGAGAGATCTTGGAGTTGTAGTGGATAACTCACTGAAAATGTCGAGACAGTGTGTGACTGCAATAAAGAAGGCCAATGCTATGCTGGGGATTATTAGGAAGGGTATTGAAAACAGATCAGCCAATATAATAATGCCCCTATATAAATCAATGGTGAGACCTCATTTGGAATACTGTGTGCAGTTCTGGTCACCACACCTTAAAAAGGATATTATAGCTTTGGAAAAAGTGCAGAAAAGGGCAACTCGAATGATAAAAGGGTTGGAACACTTTCCCTATGAGGAAAGGTTAAAGCGCTTAGGGCTCTTTAGCTTGGAGAAAAGACGACTGAGGGGTGACATGATCGAGGTTTATAAGATTATGCATGGGAAAGAGCAGGTAAAGAAAGAGGTACTTTTCTCCCTTTCTCACAATACAAGAACTCGTGGGCACTCCATGAAACTGCAGAGCGGTCGGGTTAGAACGGATAAAAGGAAGTACTTCTTCACCCAAAGAGTGATTAACACATGGAATTCACTGCCACAGGAAGTGGTGGGTGCTACAAGCATGGACGGCTTCAAAAGGGAATTAGATAAGCATATGGAGCAGAGGTCCATCAGTGGCTATTAGCCACAAGGTATAGCTAGGGGCTCTGGGGCAAGTGATGCTCTGTCTTCTTGGTGCTTGGGGGGGGGGTCAACAGTGGGAGGGCTTCTAATGTCCTGGCCCCACTGCTGGACCTCCTGATGGCACTGGTATTTCTGGCCACTGTGTGACACAGAGTGTTGGACTGGATGGGCCTTTGGCCTGATCCAACATTGGCGTCTCTTATGTTCTTATGTTCTTATGTTTGGTTCTGGAGTTTATTGTTAGGTTCAGGTTTTTTCCCTTCTTGTTTCTGCTCGACTTTGAAGAAGACCATGCATGAAATAAGTAGACAACCGGTTACTCGTTGGTCGAAGCTTCTGATGGTTTAAACTAGAGGGAACTTTCAGTGGGAGAGTCTTTAAAGTGTTATCAGCATCTCCTTCCAATGTGTT